TCCCCCATTCTACGCAATAAGGAAAGTATTTTAGCGATTTCGAGAACCTACACAAACTTACGCCAGAATTTTTTCGTAATTCGCTAATCAACCATGTGGAACAGACTACCAATGAGCCTCCATTGCGGTGAAACTACAACCAGGTTCAGGAGTCTCCTTGAGGATTTTCTTTGCGAGAGTGGATTGTATCACCAATTGAATATCAGTGCGTTCAACAATGATTCGTACAAACAAAGTCCGTCATCCGTCTATTTGACTCAAAAGCAAATTGCAACCTTTGAAACTGTTCACGTCTATTTTATTTTGTTTCTTTTCTATCTTAATACATGAAGCCTGTTTTTTTTCGTATTTGTGATTGTTACTGCTATTAATATCATTATCGTTCCCTCGACACATTAGATATTCTTTCCATCTCTTTTTGTCCTTCTAACTATATTTTATTTCTAAACATCCTAAGTTTGTAACTATAGATAAATTATCCTATGTCAAACTTAGATAAATTAACTTCTCAGCTTCATTTTATCTTCCTCACACATATATAACACATAGAAATTTATGTTTGATTATCTTTTGCAATTAATTGTGAATTTCATAGCATCATTCTTGATTATTATTGCGCAAATGTTTATATTAATATCCGGTTTTACTCTGTATACTTTTACATAAATCTATATATATTCATCCGAGTGCACTAATAGGTTTTTCCAAGTTGTTGGTTTACCTCAGATGTCAATATTCATTACGCCATTATTACCGTAGTTGAAATTTTTCACCAGGTGCTCATTTCTTTTCTCTCTTCTTCCTTCTAAATAAACATTATTCTTAACTTGTTTTACACTTAAATTAACTTCTCAGACTCGTTTTACCCTCACTATGCATATATGACTCATACATACTGATATTTCGTTATTCATTGCACTTAATTGAGTCTTTCATGGGATCACTCCAAACGATAACTGTACAAATATTTATTCTGGTGTCATGTCTTACTGCAATACTAAGTCATTTTTTCATAATAATTTTTATTTTATTTTTGTTATTAATTTGGCGATATATGCATAGTCGTTTATTCTTGTTCTGTCTTCATAAACACGCCTATTAAACTATTTGCTCATTTCAAGTCTCCTTTATTTCTATTCCCTAATTTTCTTCATTTACATCTTTGAAGTCAATTAATATTATTCTCAGTTACACGGAATCTGATTTATTATCATTATTCTAGTATCATCATTATTTTCCCATTTTTCCTCATTTCCAAATATGGCCAATATAATGCTAACATCAGTGAAACTTGCATATTATTGCATTTTTGAAGAAATCCGAAATGATTTCTTCACAACATTTATGTACCCATAAGATGTTTGTGAATAATAGTGATAGTAGTTTTATTAGTCGAAAAATGCTAGACTATTTGCAGCTGAACAGTATATTGTGAGGTTCATGAGGCTACTGATTTAGAGTTCCATATTAGTTCAAGACAGTGTGAGTTTCTTGTGCTTGGCTTTAATTGAGCAACATCGATAGGTCCATTAAGTATTCTGTATCCTTCAAGTAAGAATTGAGGTGAGATATATGGCTTCATAAAAGAAACTTAAACAGCTTTAAAAGACAAAACTCGATAATCTAATGTGGTTTAGAAATTTGAAGAGTCGATGATATACATGTAAGGCTTATATATGTCTTCACCTGCTACGAAACCAGTCTGTCTAAGCGTTTCGTGGAAAAGACTTACAAATGCACGTCATATATCTGTCTCGCACATTTTCGAGGTAAGACCATCCTACTCTGGTGTAAACGTGATGAAGAAAACGTTCATCCACATTTTTGCCATACATACTTCAATTTTAACTGTAAGTACTTCACTGTAAACTTTACATATATATGAATCTTCAGTTAAGACTATAGTAATTTGTGCAGTTCAAGTGGTACTGGACCATAATTACACGGCCCTTGAAACCGACCATATAACTAATGAAAAGATATATATTCAACAATTAACACGAAGAGAAGATTAATAGTGGAGAACGCGGGAATATTCGAGTCAATCGGATGGCATGGCTCAGCCTCACAGACGCAATCATTCAGTATAGTTTATCTTTGCTCACATTAAATATATTATTCTATTATAGGCTTAAATGTTTTCTTTGAAAATTCTAGACATCATGTTATTAATTGTTAAGATACGATGAGCCAGTGTAAACAATGATGTGACTTCCACGTAAGATCTTATAGATTATGCAGTCACATCATGACACATCTATAACTTTAAGGTTACATCTATTATCATAATGAGGTAATTAACGAAGTAGACCATAATTCTATACAATGGCTTGCCGTAAAGAAATGTTTTTGATCTAAGCCCTTTCCGGGAAGATCCAAGTCCTATACTATAGTATTGTGAAGGATGGTCAATGTGCAAATCAGTTTTTAGTACATTTAGGATGAAATATCATCGTTTTCCCTACACTGTTGGTTTATCAGATAGACGTAAGTTGTAAAATAGTACTCAAGATTGTTTGACAGAAGGCGGAATTCGATTATATGAGCGTTTAAGGTGCTGTATATTCAACATTTAACAGAGAGGAAAGTTCAGAAACGATAAGGACGGAAAATAATTTGTAGGTATGTCATGGCTCACTCTTTCAGGCGCGGTCATTTTGTCTAACTCATACGTATTCACATTCAGTATATGATTTTGTCTCCAGCATAAATGCGTTCTTCGGAAGCGCTAAACATCATATTGCTGATGTCAGGTAGGACGAGTCAGTATAGACAATGATTCGACTTCCACGTAAGACGTTATAGATTAGGTAGTCACATCATGGTAGATATATTATTCTGGGATTAGGTCTACTAGTACAGTAATACTAATATCAAACTGGACTACAGTTCTGCAGATCTAAAGAAATAAGTCGACCCTATTTGATAAAAAATTACTAGTAAGTAGTACAACAGTTAAAACAGTGAGAACATTTAATGGATATAACTCTTTGGAGATTGTGAAGAAATTGGGTAAGAATCTTCATTTGATGTGGTGCTTCTAACACATCCCTCTTTTTTGAACAACCGTTAAGAAACAGAACATACATTTGGTGTGAGTACTGAACTTCGTTGGATGATTATGGGCCTTAAAGGAAAAAATGGATCCGTGCATCAACTTGAGTGGTAGGATCACCCTGCGACCCACCAAGTGTTACGGGATTTAGAAAAATTGTTTAGTGATGGTTACGTGAATATAGATGAGCTTCTTAAAGATCATTCCTACAAAAACGTTAGTTTACAGCATGACTTGTTCAAAATATTTGAGTGTATATCTAGAATTTTATGATGTTATATACTTCTTGAAACTGCTTGTTTTGTTCGGTGAGTCCGTAATACATTTTTACTGGTACTTTTACCTGATATAGTGATTCACACATTGCTTATGAAAAATAAATTTCTTTCCAAACGGCATTAATTCGTGTTAACAATACATACCCCTACACTCTCCAATCTTAACTAACCTTGGCTTGTAGTTCATATATATGCCACAAGCACTTTGCACACTTGAAATGCTTGATCCTGAGGATGGAAAGTTCAAGATTGCTGTAATCTACAAGGTATAGTTTTTCTATTAACTCTCTAGAACTAATTTCCTCAAACATATATATTTTCGTTTTACGTTTTATCTAAACATATACCTACATATTGCATCTCTTTTATGATTTCCCGGCGGTTTCTACCACTTTTATTTGTCGTTTTTATTAATGACCACCACACTCACATTTTTTAAACGTAGTTCTTCGATTTTGAACGACCTTTGGCATTCAACCTTTACTTTTGCTCCTCTGTTTCTACCCTAATACTTTTTCTTCACTCGCTCTGCTACTAATCAATCTCCAACCATCCTTGGGAAATCTTTGAAAGCTTGTCTCTAGGAGTCCTGCTAAACGTAGGAAAAGGACGCTATTTAACACTAGTGTTAACATGATCTCCAAACGTTTTAATGACTCATGCTACCCTTATTCATTCAGGAACAGACAAGCTTACGCTAGATCTCGCCCTTCCAGACATGTTCAATGCTCTCTTGGTAGGCAATGATGGCAGTGGCCACTGCAAACTTATGAACGACATAATAAATTTCCAGTTGGACAAGAACGTTATCAGCTAACCTTAGTGTTTTATCAACCCAACCTCATCAAATTTATAGATCAGATTGGAAACTTTAGGGCCTCAGAGGTGTGTGAATGAATATGACAATCTCAAAATGCAAACGTGTTTAATATACCGGAGACATATGATCCACAAGTTATCAAGTCAAAGCTGCATAAAGATGTACATTATGCTTCCACCAGAAAATAAAGTTAACAACGGCCGGGAGATATCTTGCCGACCAGCTGGATTCTTTGCCAGCAAATATAAATATAATACAAATGGTGACAAAATTAGCGAATGTATTTTTTATCGCAAACTTCTTACCTTAGCCAATCCCACAAGTATTCACGCAACTACTACTCATGTTCTATTCTCTACACCGCTTTTTGTCGATTTCTTATTCTTACATTTAACAACTGCTCGGTCTCCAACACAATTAGTCATCGTAAAGCCACTATACATCTTCTAAATTCAAACATTGTGCTTATTAAGAAAATGTAGTGCAAATCATCCATGGTCTATGACCACTTAAATCAAGATAATAACGTTTTATTTCTATCCTATGAACAGCGTGAGATGAGAGGCGATACAATAACTTATGACTGTTCGAACATTCAAGCATGTAAGATTGAGAAGGAATGTCCTGATGCATGCGATGACTTGACTATGTTTACTGTAAATTGTAGATTGTTGAATTATGGTCTACTATTAGCGCTGCTCTAATAATAGACATAATCCTAAAATTGTAGATTTGTTATGATGTAACTGTCTAATCTATAAGATCTTACGCGGAAGTCACATCATCATCTACACTAACTCACTGCATCGTACCAATTGCCAATACATGATAGAGAACAATCTTAGGCTAGTGATAGAACAATATATTTAATATGAATAAAAGATATAAAGTAGAATTCAGGAGGGACCACGCCTGCATGGTCGAGCCATGCCATAAGATTAACTCCGAATGATTCAATTTATTCTCTCCACCTTTTCCATTCTACTGTATTTCTCCGCGTTAAATGTTTAATGTCTATTTCTCATATTGTCTCGTGGTAGGGCCCAATGCCTCTACACTACTCTCCCACCAGAAACAACGTGACGTTGGTTCGATACCAAATCGTGTAGGATTGTCGCGCGCCGGAGGTTAACAAGAATAATAAGAATCCCCCGGGTATTGATAAGCTGAAAGATAAATCAAAAAGAAGGCGGCAGCATCTGGTCGGGAAATACATGTGATAATTTTAACATATCTGATTGCATGCTTAACACGCTTAAAATGAAATTTTGGAGTGGTTATTTGGGCTATGAAAAATAGGATTACAATAACAATAATAATAAAACCTAAGATGAGTGTTAATAGCCTTCGATAATAACTTGATTTATAGGTGGTAAGTATTTTGTGTCTAGAAATATTAAAAGCAATGAATATTGTAGAAATGTTAATATTAGTATTAGTTTTGGTTTACATTATAAAATCAAACAATGTTTATGCCAGTAAGCTGTCCATATGAGTTGATGTCCAATCGCATCTGTATTAGTAGACTAACTGAAAGAACAAAATTTACCGTGGAGAAGAATTCCAACTAGTGTCCTGGTTAGTTTGATACGGTTTATTTAGTTATGGGGAGATTTTCTCGGCCTCACTTTTACCTGACCGTGATAGAATTTAGTAATACAACTAATATATATGAATGGTTATCAAGAAAACGTTTAAATACGTGAAAAGTAATAATTATGTGGATTTTGGACAGATAGCTAAGGGTGATTCGTTAAACATGAGTGTATCCGTTAGATATATGCTGTAGACTCAATGTTCTGATTTGCCATAAACTATTTATTTATATTCATATCTACCGGCTGATGGTGCATACGAGTTAGTTGCAAGTATGCAGTTTAGCATGAGGCGGAACACGATTTGATTGAGATATAGTGATTATAAGTAATTGAAATCAGTTAAGCCTATGTGCCACCTTTCTAGGTGAGGTGGTGCTGCAAGATGTGTTCGTCTAAATAAGTTTTTACAAGATGATTAACAGCGAGTGATGCTCATGTGATTACCAGGGAGAACATAAGTTATAACCAAAAGGAGTACATTCCCAACTCATGTCTATGATAATGGCCTGGTGTTTAGTCAATGTTTGGGTAAATTCGACAGTGATGTTTCCAGTTTGCAGGAGATTTGCTCGACTGCTTATACTGATTGTTTGCATGCATGATTGTGTCGCTAAACCTCCAATTAGACTGACAAGATTTTGAGATATTTACTGAATGAGCAACTGATAAACATACTGTCAGTCAGTCAGTCAGTCAGCTGCAACGTAGGACCAGGCACGTATATGCATCGGTCCAAGTTGCCATACCGCATTAGCACAACAAGATGAACACCGGATTCATAGTAGTTAATTCAGTGGTGGTAATATATAGAAGAAAGATTGTGTATATGGAGATAGTACAGGAAGAAAGAATTAGTTCCTAGACAGATATGAAGCGATTTTAATCTCTTAATTTAAGGAAGACAGAGAGTGTATACACCGACGCCATTGTGATCGATTCTGAGCCATGTCACCAAGAGTCTCCAACCATTGGTTACGATAGTCACGCGGACCCCAACCAGGCAGTCTGAATCTCCCAACATGACTCAGACCAGAAGTTAGTGACTTCAAGCATTGATGCCACGTTTTGGTTTGGCCGCCCCTAACTTTCTTCCAATTATCCCCTGCACTAGTCAGCATTGCGCGTCGTGGTAATCGGTGTTCAGGCATACGCAACACGTGGCCCAACCATCTCAGTCGATGAAGATTCATAACCTCATCAACTGATTTACCATCATTCCCTAATACCCTGCGTCTAACCTCACTATTACTTACCCGGTGGTCCCAGCAGATACCCGCAATATTTCTAAGGCACCTGTGGTCAAATACTAGTAACTTACGAATATCTTCCACTCTTAAAGGCCATGTTTCGCAGCCGTATAGAAGGACGGAACGAACTGCCGCGCAGTATACTCGTCCCTTAATTGATAGACGAATATCTCGCCTTCGCCATAGATGATGTAAGTTGGCAAAGGCCAAGCGAGCTTTTCGAATCCGTGCTGAGATTTCGTCAGACACCAACCCATTAGGGCTGATCAGACTTCCAAGATAAGTGAAGTTGTCAACGCGTTCGACTACTTCACCCCCTATCCTTAGTTCAGGTGTTGATGCAGACCAGTCCTGAAGCAACAACTTGCATTTAGAGGGAGAAAAGCGCATCCCAAACAATCGGGCATTGTTGCTCAGTGCTAACAAAAGACTCTGCATTTCGTCAGCGTCTTCACCAAACAGGACTATGTCATCTGCGTATTCCAAGTCAATAAGTGGACCTCCTGGTAGGAGATCAATACCCGAGAAGTCAGTCGATGAGAGCGTTATTTCCATCAGGATGTCTATGATAAAGTTAAACAAAAAAGGAGAAAGTGGACAGCCTTGACGGACGCCACTTGAGGTTGCAAAAGCAGATGACAGTTCGCCATAGGCTCTGACCCGACTAGTAGTGTTCGAGTAAAGAGCCTTCACAAGGTTTATGTACTTCTGAGGTACGCCTTTCAATGACAGACACTGCCACAGAACCTTTCGGTCAACAGAGTCAAACGCTGCTTTTAAGTCAAGGAATACCACCATTGTCGGACGCCGATAAGTATGCCTGTGTTCTAGAACCTGACGAATGGTGAATATGTGGTCGATGCAGCCACGACCAGGTCTGAAGCCAGCCTGATTTTCACGTGTTTGCAGCTCACGAGTTTTAGTTAGGCGTCCGAAAATTATCGAAGCTAGTATTTTAGATACTATATTAGTCAAACTAATCCCTCTGTGGTTGTCACAGGATGATTTTGACCCTTTCTTAAATATTGGGACGATAAGTGATTGTGACCAGTTAGATGGGATAACGTCTAACTCCCAGATTTTAGCTAAAATATTAGTCAACCTAATCGCTAAGACTAGACCACCATCCTTAAAGACCTCTGGGGCCAATCCATCTGGACCAGCTGCCCGTCCTCGTTTCAGATTAGCTATAGCCTTTTGAACTTCAGCTAGAGTTGGGGGACCTACTTCAATGTTCCATTCACACTGTCTGGGAATAGAGGGTAGTTGTAGAGTAGCTGAAGGCCAGCTAAACTGCTCCTTAAAGTGTTCCGCCCATCGTTCTAAGCGTCTGGACTGGGAGCAGATGAGAGTGTCGTCTTTTTCCGAAATGGTCTGACTTACACTTGATTTATTAATTCCAGTTTCTTTTATTAGTCTGTAGAGTTGTCTTGTATTCCCTATAGCCGCCGCCTTTTCCATCTCTTTTGCTTTCGTTGCCCACCACTGCTCACGATCATTCTTTAGACTTTTGCTTAATCTAGATCTGATTTCTTTACGCTCTTCATCGTATTCAGAACCTGATGGGATGAGTTTGCGAGAATCTATCAGTGCAATAGACCTTGACGAAATCCATTGGTTCTTTGTAACCCTGTGGTTTGAATCGCTAGTAGATGTCACTGCTGTTTCCACAGCTGCTTGTATAACTTTCCAAGCAACATCTGGGTCAGTCTCGTTTTCAGAACTACCTAAGTGTGACCTCAGTTGTTCCTGGAACCTACTTTTGGCTTTCTCATTACTCAATTCGGTTCTAATGAGTCTTTTTTGTGTGGCTCTTTTGCGTCCAGTGAGGCGCAAGCAGATGCGTGCTCGTACTAGGGCATGATCAGAGTCCAAGCAGGTACCCCAGAATGAGCGACAATCTTCTATTGACCCTCTCCAACGATGACTGATGGCAATATGGTCTATTTGAGTCCATCGTTGGTTTGGTGCAGGGGGTCGCCATGTTAGACGATGTCTCTCCTTATGCTTAAAATTTGTGTTTGCTAAAAATAAACGATTGTCTGAGCACAGTTGCAGCAGACGATCACCATTATCTGTTCGCTGTGCCGGAATACTAAAATACCCACCTAAATGTCTTTCTGTTTTGTTTAAGCTACCTACCTGGGCATTAAAGTCACCTCCTACGAGTACTATGTCTGAACGTTTAGCTTTCTGAAGAAGTTCAGACAGCATTCTGTAAAATTCATCTTTCACTTCATCCGAACTGCAGTCAATGGGAGCGTAGGCAGAAACGACGAAAAGGCAACGACGTGTGTCCCTATCCTTCCGAGTTCTTACCGAGCCGTTTAGCCGAACAGCGCATAGACGACTGTTAACGGGGATCCATTCTAATAGCGCTTGTTCCGCCCTCATGCTAAGTGCTATGCCTACACCTGCCAGTCCACGAGAACTAGCCATCGGGTCGCCAGATACACGGAGGGTGTATCTCGTTGGCTCTCCGTTTTGCCGAGGTGAGGTCAAGTGAATGACCACACTAGGATCCTGTATGCGTGTTTCGGAGACACAGCATACACCAATGGTACGAGATTCTAAGGTTTTAGCCAAGGAAGCCTGCTGACCGATTTGGCATAGTGTGCGTACGTTGAAGGCTCCAATGTGTAGTTTGGAGCGAGGTTTCAGTAGACCTGGGACAGTGTTTTGAGCATTAGAATCGTTGGCTGTGGTGACACTTGAGGAGGAAGCTAATAGAGGAAGTTTAGTGTATAAAGTCGATGTAGGAGGAATAATAGGAATTGAAGAGGGAGGTTGACTATGAATACAGTGGTCTTGAGTGCTGTTAGAGGTATGAGGGCGGTTATCACTTCCCGGTTGCCCACACCGTGGAAGGGTTCTTCTGGAGGTACCTGAAAAGGAAATTGGATTAGAGTTGGTCATTGTGACCTGAGAGCGTGACCGCAGTGCCCAAGGGACAGCTGCTTGAGGTCGGTCACACACGACCTTTTTATGAGTGATTTTTGTGTTAGCTCCGTACTTGTTGAGTCCTTACCGCCGGAGACGGATATCCGTGGGATAAGGCGAGGTGTGCATTTTTAGGGTCGACCTTTTCTAACCCCACCCCTCCTTGTGGGAAGGCAGCATCGCTGTCATGCTGGTTGTCTGAAGGAAACACCTTACTGCTGTCACACCTCTGTACAGTCAGCAGTACGACTTCGCCTTCGGACCTTGGTTTTGTTGCTTTTAGTCTTACCGCTCTTCAACCGACCTGTCTGGCATGGTAGGACCTTGAGGAACGGTTGTTCCAGCCAGTATAGCTCAGTTGCTTCATCACGATAGGCAAGCCCGACCACCACGTCAAGGTAGCAACATACTGTAATCATCCGTAGTGAATGAAAAGAAAAACAACACTACTTAATGATAATTATAAGTCGATTTGCTGACCGATTTGTTAATAGTTTCGTCAATTTTATCAATCATATTACGTGATTGTCAAATCATGACAATGCTTTATGACGATATCCTGAAACCATTATGTCTAACTAATTATAGTGTTGATTGAGGATTTGCCGGTGGAAAAATAGGTATTGTTGCTTTAGGTGATTTGAAACTATCAGAAATTTGTAGCGTTGAAGAAACCGAGCCGCCTAATTATATTATAAATTTCAATTCAAGAATATACATCTAGTGTTAATTTTAGTAATAGTTTCCGGAGTTTTAATTTTAAATGTTTGTTTAGCCAACAACTACCTGATAGTTTAGCTATCATACTAAGGCAGTATGCTAGTACTCAAATTTGTAACTTTATTATCTAAACTATGTTTGTCTTTTTATGTTACTAATATGGTAGACCGATTGACAAACCCAAATACGTATAGCAAGAATGACTATGATGGGTTTGGTGAGAAATGCTAAGGGCGATTCAAATGACTTTCGAATTCAAAAGGCATGGAGATATAATGCAACGCATTTACAGGATAGTTTAACATGCAGGTTATTGATGTATATGACAATTTTAAAAATAGTGAACATTGCCAGAAAAATAACCTTAAAGTTAAGACTGCTTATGAAACTTCAGTTGGGATTATGATGCGTTATGAACTTCCCATAAGAAGTTCCTGCATTTAGCTTAGTGGCACTTACAAATATGTAGCAAAAGCAACTGAAAAATGTAAAATGTTAAGTACAAAAAAAACATCAAGTAAAATAGTTAAACTCGCCTGGATTATTTTTGAAAATTGGATTATTCAGTAGACGACATACGTAACGCCATTCGTGAGTAGTATTGATCAAAAAGCATCCAAAATAAAACACGCAATATGGCAGTTAATTCCAAGGTGTTTGGTGCCAATAACGTTTTTGTCACTCGCTCAAATCAGAACAGTTGAATGAATTCATATAAATGTGTGGTTGCCATTGAACGAGCCATCAAAAATGACCTTATAGCTGAAACTCACCGTATGTTTTTGCATTAGTGTCAATCTTGTTGTTTGGCAATGGAACTCGAGAATTGGAAATTAGGCAGGCAGAGGTCGGAAGAAAATATATTGCAGGATAGTGTATAGTTTAAAAACAGAATGTGTTAAGTGAAAAAACACTATGAATCAGATCCAGATAACTATTTAGTCCTTGATTGCATGGATAGTCAATGTATATTGAGGTTATTTGCAGGTCATATTTGCTAGAGCTTGATGTTAAAACAAGTTTATTTCTCTGAAGCATTTAAATGCTACTAAAGCTTGTTAACGAACCATCAAAAGCTAATAAGCTAATGTAGATGGTCAGTTTTTATTATTGATTGAGCTAGTAAGTTGTGAGAACTAATCAATATAACATTACGATAATACACATGAGCATTAATCAGAGGACTATTAGAATAATGGGTTTACAAAAGTAAATATCGATCGAGAAATATCAAGTGAAAAAGAGAAAAATAATAATAGGTTGCGTTTCTTTAGTCGAGCTTACGAATTTAGAATTACGGTCTACTATGTTATTAGTACTGCTCTAATAATAGACATAATCCTTAAATTGTAGATTTGTCATGATGCAACTGCCTAATCTATAAGATCATACATGGAAGTCACATTATTATCTACACCACCTCATCGCATCGTAACAATTACCAATACACGATGGAGAACAAGCTTAGGCTAGAGACAGAACAATATATTTGATATGAATAAAGGTCTAAGATAACATTCAGCAGGGACCACACCTGCACGGCCGAGCCATGCCATCCGATTAACTCGTATTAATTTAATTCATTGTTCCCGCCTTCTCCATTCTTCTGTATTTCTCCGCGTTGAATGTTTAATGTCTATTTCTCATATTGTCTCGTGGTAGGGCCCATTACAAGATCACAAAGGTATATAATAATGTGATGCATATAAAGACCACCCAATAAGAATACTCTGACAAATTTTTAACGAAGATATTTTTCTTTTTTTTCATTAGCCACACACGTGTAAAAATCACCGGAGAGGGGTCATCATCTTGGAAACATTAAATGGAACTCAACTTCGATACCAGGACAGTATAACAAATGTGTTGAAAAAGTATAACTTTGTCGGTGGGCCAAACAGGTTCGAAGGCCATTTAGGAAGAATAATATACTTGACCTTATATTTACAATCAAATTCGACCCTATCGCATTTCACGTCAGCCATTAACTTTTTGTGGGTGATCATACAGTCGTACTGATTATTTAGTGCCGGTGTGTACTTCTTGTTCTACCGATAGAGGAAACCAGACTAGTAGTGGGCAGGCCTTCAGTTAGATTGTGAACAGAACGGTGGAGCGTGAGGTTATATTCTCAAGCTCAAAGCTTTTCAGAATTTAGTGTAAAATAACAAGGAATATGAGGTCTTTAAAAAATAAGTAAGCGAGTGAATACCCGGGCTATAATATTCTGACATTTATTTAGATGCTTGCTGTCTACTCTTAACCAATCAAACTAAGTTGTTACAGATACATTTTACCCTACAAAAACTATACTATCGAACTTTAAAGCTACCACTATATACCAGAGTAAGCAGTTTATTCAAGAAACATGACAGCGCACTGAAAATCTTATTCTCTGGTTACCTTGGGAACAAAGATCCACCACATATTACGTTGACACTGAGCTTTCCAACTTATATGGCAACTTGACGTATGCCTTGACCGCATTATCCAAAATGTCTGTCGTGCAGTTTATAACGCTTATAAGGGGACAAATGCTTTCAAAATCTTAGAGAAAAAGCTAAGGAAGTTAAAGCAGTCCTATCGTAAGCATCATGACGGATATGCATTGAGAGCATACCTAACTTGATTTACAGAAATGATTCATTTCAACACAAATATCTTATAACCATGAAAACACACCATTTCTCGCGGTGCTACAACCTTAAACCAGAAACTCCCGGTTATAAACGATAAATGTTGACATCTAAAAATCTGTCTGCAGCTGATGTTACGTCAACCAGCAATAAGCAAACTATAAGTGTATGGAAATAGTCCTTTGACGTTAGGTTTGAAGGAATTCCCGTAGATTCGAAACATAGTCGCGTAGCGAAATCGCTAACCAAAGGCCCATTAACTGGACACACATACTATCAAGAAACATGATAAAGTTATTCAAAAATAAGTTTTATCATTAATACTTCCAGCAAGCCCGATTTGCTCTTCTCAACATGGGTTTAAAACTAAATGTTCATGCTCAAGTTCGCATTTTGAGTTTTCGGTCATATGACCCAGTAAGGAGATGTTAGTCTGACAGTGTCTCAGCAAACCTCCTCCTTTTAAACTAATATACAAAAATTGTACGAATGGGTTATGTCGAGGGATGTCACCGAATTGTGATAAGAGTAGATTTATTTACATAGGCCACAATGCTAACCCAGATTTGGCTGTACACAAGCGCGTGCTGAAGCCCCTCAGCATTTCCATGACTTCAGTTCGAGGCATGGTAACAGTTTAAACTTTTTCCAGCACATAACATTTTATGTATTCAAAGCAAACATTTTTTGATGCTAAACTATAATATCATTAAATCCAGATTATTATTATCATACCTACCTTGAGTATGATATTTTAGTTTGCAGTTGATTTAGGCATGATGATTTGGCGAAAACTCAATATTTTCAAACGAAACTCATTAAATCTGCTCTCAAGTATTCTGACACCAAGGATTATAACCAAAAGCATAAAGAACTCACATTAGAAATTCCGCGATTCATATAATGAAGGTTTAGAATCTATTTAGTTCAGTATAAAATATAGTAAAACCTTTGAAGTTCGTATATGTTCATATTTATTGTTAACATTACTATAACTGATCCCCTGACAGTCTAAATTTTTTCCTCCTCTTTCTCTATTTATTTTCTGCATGAATTTTATTCATACACAGCAGGGTTTCTAATTAAAAACACTAAATCTTGTGTTACACGCACTTAGATAAACTTACTTTTCTCATTCGTTCTATCCTCGTCACGTATATATGACCAATATAAGTTGACATTTGACGATTGTTCCCTGCTATCGACCAAGAATTTCATTGGATCATTTTAGACTATCACTGCATAAACTTTTATTCTGCCATTCATTTTACTTGGAACTCCATATCTGTGTTCAAGTTAACTTGTATGACCTCCCGTATATTGCATGGTCTTCTGTAAAGTGGGAGGTGTTAAATTTATCAATTTTATTCACTTCGATATTAAAACTAAGCAGGGAATTCCTCTTGAAATATGTTGAGATACATAAGGGGATAATAGGTTGGTTTAAGTTTGAATAGCTATATTCAGCTTTCTTAGGCTTGACTTGACCTGTTAGAACATAGTATTTAGGAAAGAACTTCAAATGCTTTTGTCATTTGATGCAGGTGAAAGATAAGGTAATGTAAAAATCTTCACGAATGTTGAAATCTTTGGTGATAGATGGATCAGTTCCTGCTGTCATGTGGTTTCGAAACAGTTTTTGAACTGTTTCCATGAAACGACTTATCGTATTGTTATCAAAGCGTGCAGTTATGAATATAATTTTGTGTTCATAATTATAAGAATTTACCGGTGCTTTACAGAAGATGGCAGCAGCCCGAGAAGAATTTTGGTTACTAAGAGGTGATATAGCTATGTTATACTGTTAACAATCGACCCAATTCAGACTATCGGAGTCGTATCAATGAGACAACACCAGACTGGTTCTTGCCGTCGTGAGGAAACTTAACAGAACTCACTGATGCTCCATCGGAAAAGAGGCATTCTAAAAAGTCAGGACAAGCGAACTATTTGGCATAGGTATTCTGGAAACGGTAGTTCAAAGATTTCTTTGTTACGACACGCATACAAATGGACTGAGAGCAAAGTGTAAGGTAAGCAAACATAGTAGTGATAAATTGTAATGTATCCTAGGGATGTAAGTGGCTATTATTTTAGTGCAAGCAATTATACCCAGCAAAAATGTATAGGTAAAACAAGTAGAGTTGAGGATAGGAAAGAGAATACTTGTATGATACACTAGAAAACTATCTTCTTGAGGTAGCAGATGACAAGTGAGTACTCGAATCTCTAAATGTACTGACGTAACCCTTAAGGATTACGTTGTTGTGTGACTTTAAGCGTACTGCTGTAAGACCTGTCGACTGTTGTTTTCCTGAATTTTTGCTTTCAATTGCCGTTTGATTATATAAGATGACTACCTTACCCGGAATTGATACCGCTTATTTATCAATCTTTGAAAAGAGCCAACGTGTTTTATGTGGCAAGTGTTACAGAAAAATGTATCTGGTAGATCCGCTGTTTTCATGCTGAAGGTGATTAATTCGCCATAGTTCTGATAGTCTCCGTCTTTTTGTTACACTATAGAAAGTTATCACGGAGATTAACTGCTGTAAATTGCTTTAATTTCACTGTCTTTTTAAATATCCGTTTTACACAGACTTTGAAATTGTTTGTCTGCAACATTAACTTTCAACATATTCGGTTTCACACTGTTTTTTTGGCATTTCGGAAATTTTGATGCGAAAGCCCGACAATTTAGGGTTGGCTGTAAATTTTGCAATTACAATTATTAGGGCAATATATTAGGACTGACTGCTTTTAATTTACGAATAACCTTCCGATGCCAGAAACGGAGTTCAGCTTTTTTATATTTTGGATAATGAATTACGAACGTATAAATAGACCGTGCTTGAATAACATACTCACTGTTCACGCGCTCACATCTACTAACATTAGCCAGGTGTTCAACTCCTCATTTTGGTCATTTCATTTATTGTATAAACAGCTTCAAGGATTATGTACTTAGGGACTTGTGTCACTACAGGGCGACCATTTCAAATGACTTGCAGTAGTGTAAGCCCAACAAGAAGCGTTTGGAACTGCACAAACATCTTATTAGTATTCTGCAGTCAAAAGCGGATGTTGTAGACCACATTCAATCGGGCACTTTAATGAGGGTTTCCAGATGCATTTAATGAACAACCACTAGTCTTTCCACTCCAGATAAGTAGATACACTCTATATGCAGAAACAGTTCAAGTATATACAGTGACTTTTGTGGTTATTATCATCATAAATTTCCAGAATTAAAGTTTATTTAGACCTTGGCTGTTAAAAAACTCAGTTCACAGTTATGTGCATAAAAACAGTTTGTTCATAATTGAATGTACCATAGTAATCCCTAATCAATTCAAATTCGTACAGTGGTGACAATTTATGACCAAATCTGTGACCCAAGTCTGGTTGAGACATGAATATCCAGTAAATGCATGGACTTCAGCCATATAATGATAAAACAAAAGTCCTGAGATACAGACAGGTTTTATTTGCACACTGAATCTACCAAATTTTGTTCATTATAATAATTAGGGTAAAAAATTTCATGAAAAACCTTCAACGATTAGGCTTCAACAGTCACAACAGCAAACACTAAAGAGGAGGCAAGATGGGAATTGATAGTTAAAGTGATAAATCACAAACAACGCAATTTCAAAGCTTGGGCATAATATATACTTTCAGCTTCCTTTTGAACCAACTTCATTTATAAAGTTCTTTGTCCATTCATACTATATTTACGCTTGTTTTCTTTGACATACTGGAATTATCCTGCTTAAAATGTACCTAAATAAAAGAAAGTTGAGCTAAGTGGTCATACTTTCACTATTTCACCACAAATGACACAATTTCAGTAGGCATGAATATTGTCTGGTTTACTCCTCGTCCTCTATTTTTCTTATCCTCCTCTTCAGCCCTCTCAAGATATGCCACCAATGACATATGAAACAGGGTAACTTTTTCTTGAGCAATCATTG